AACATGATAAACAAGTTGAAGAAGTAAAAGAACGAAATAAAAAACGTGAAGAAGAATTAACTTTTACAGAAGTTTGGTATACATTTGTTGATCCTTATGCAACTGAAGTTGATGAACGTGGTTCAGATGATTCTTTTCGATCAGTTGGTGTACTTATTTTTAAAAATGGTAAGAAGAAGAAGAAAAAACAACATAAATATATGAATTTGTTTGTATTGATTAATATTTTAAGGAAGAAAAATAGTTGATGAATATGAATGGAAATATGATAATCATGTTCCATTAGCTTCTAATGAAAAATTAATTATCTATGAAATTCATATTGGTGATTTTGAAGATAAATTTGTAAATGTAACAGCTAGAATGAATTATTTTGTTCAATTGGGTATTACAGCTGGTAAGCGGAATAAAAACAAAAAGTTCAAGGTCAACATTAATTTTTATTGTGATTTTAGTGGAAATTATGCCAATAAAAGAATTTCCTGGACAAGTCGGATGGGGTTATACACCACGGTATTATTTTGCTATTGAAAGCACTTATGGTACAACAGCTGAGTTGAAAGAAATGATTGATACATTTCATAAAAATGGAATTCGTGTTATTATGGATGGTGTTTACAATCATGTAAGTATTAGTTTTTGTCATTGAATCTATAAGCAAAAAAAAACGAAAAGTGTTGTTTTGTTAACGTTAATAGATTAATGATTATAAGCGCAAACATTTTTTTTCTATGATCACTCTAAAGATTATTCTAAAGTATGTGTTAGAATGCCAACAAACCAATTTTTAGATGATCGATTATTTCTTATTGCGATTATTACAATTTTTATGAAGAATACAAAATTTGTCATATTTATTTCAAAAAATAAAATTACGAATATTCTTTAAAATTTATATAAGTTTTATTGCATGCACGATTACTAGTAGAAATCAGCGCGAACGAACACAATCGAAGTATTAATGACTGTCATGTCAATCATGACCATATGTTTTTTTTTCTTTGAAACATTTATTCTCCGTATTTGTTATTCGAAAAATGCGTTTTTGCGGTTATTTTGTATACTAATGCAAAAATATATCCGTATAAGAAACATCTATTGGTAATGAGCCATTATTGTTTATCTTTATATTTTCTTTTATTCTAGTGTGATATTTCTTCACCTTATACGGCAATCGATCACGATTATTGGTAATTAATTTAATTATTTGTTGAATATTTTATAAATATTTTTCAAATAGGTTTCATCATGAACCAAAAGATCAAGTTTGGAGTTGGGGTCCAGTAAGTTTTTATAATTATTCTCATAGACTACTAAATTTTTTCTATTTTATTTATTAACAAGGAATGGAATTATGAGAAATATGATGAAAAATATAACATTTGGCCTGCAAGAAAATATATTGGTGAATCTATTAAATATTTTATTGATGAATTTCATACTGATGGTAAGTAAATTTTTCTGTCTTATAAAGAGTTCAATCTGTTAACATATTTTCCTTTCTATTAAATAGGTATTCGTTTTGATGCAGCAACTCAAATAGCTAATAACGATTTTCTTAAAACGATCGTACAACAATCAAAAGAACAAGCTCGTAATCGGTATGAAAAAAAGAACAATCTAGTTTTCTTTTCAATAATTAATTTTGTTTTCGTTTTTTTTAAATTTATTTAGCGGTTATGCTCCAGAATTTTATTGTGTTGGTGAATATTTACCGGATGAAATGGAAGCCGTTATTTCCAATAATGGTCCTATGGATGGTGTTTGGCATGATACTTTTTATTATAAAATACGTGAAGCTGTGACTCTTGATACACCGAATTGGGAAGAACTAAAACATGCTGTTGATGCTCGTCGACGAGGTTATAAAACTATAACTGATGTTGTTAATTATCAATCGAATCATGATCATGATCGTTTACTTGTTGATCTTGGTAAGAAAAATTTATTTATATAAATAAATACCTTATATCAATCACTATATTAGTAATCGAGCTACTATTATCGGATCCAAAATAAAAGGCAGGTTATCATTTTTCGAATAACTTTTGATAGGAACGAGATAGAGAGCTACGATTTTCACCATTCGAAAGAGTAGGATCTAGGCACCAATCCTATATAAAAACCAAGGGGTCGATATCAAATAAAGATACGTTTAATTAATTGAACTTTTTCCAAAATTTGCAATTCTCATAACTTCCCTCATATAATTCTTGTTCAAGAGTGGATTTGATAGTTCGGATCATGCTCTATAAAACTACACAAACTACAGGTCTCTATCATTTATCACTTGAACAGGGTATCAATTTTACTGGAAGCAACTGCATCGAATATTATAAGTTCTAATATGTTCTTGGAACATAGGAAATGTATAGAAAATAGGTTATTGTCTACGTCGAACATTTCAAAACAATGTTTCTCGCTTAGTCTATGAAATGAGTCTTCAAATTGTAACAAAGCTGCAAATTCTATGAAAAAGTAGGTTTCCTGCTGATAATGACGTTTCGAAAGTGTAAATAATCAACAGTTCTGCTTTTGATCTTGTCTGTCCGGGAAAAGTTATATAAACTCATTGCATATGTGCTGTATTGCGTTAGTTTCGAAAAATTTTCTATTGTTTCTGATGATTCAATGTTTATCCAGATATAGGGTAGTTGCACTTTCGTATATTAGTATGCTATGTCAAGAGAGACTAATCGTGCCAAAAGAATAATCTTTGTCCTTCTATGGTGCAATTACATCATGGTTATCGACATTCTTACTCTTTCTCTTTTTGTACTTTTTTCTTACCATATAAGGAAAAACATGGGAATAAAAAGGAATGCATACATTTTTTTTGTTTTTTTGATTGCCTTTTTTCAAATACAGATAACAAAGAAAGTAATGATACTGATCATAAAATCAATGATGATACAAGCTATGAACCAGAGAACGAGACCGATCAAGAAATGGATAAAGATATTGATGATTGAATTCCTATTTTTTGTTGTCCACTTACAAATATTTTCATTAGCAAGAAACCTACTTTTTCGTAGAATTTTCAGCTCTATTACGATTTGTATTTTGATTTGAAGACTCATTCCATAGACTAAGCGAGAAACATTGTTTTTCGGATAAAACTCATTGTTTTGAAACGTTCGACGTAGACAATAACCTATTTTCTATGTTCCAAGAACATATGAGAATTTATAATATTCGATGCAGTTACTTCTAGTAAAATTGATGCCCTATTCAAGTGATAAATGATAGAGACCTGTAGTTTATGTAGTTTTATAGAGCATGATCTGGGCTATCAAACCTACTCTTGAACAAGAATTATGTGAGGGAAGTTATGAGAATTTCAAAACTTGAAAAAGTTCAATTATTTAAACGTATCTTTATTTGATATCGACCCCTTGGTTTTTATATGGGATTGGTGCCTAGATCCTACTCTTTCGAATAGTGAAAATCGTAGCTCTTTATCTCGTTCCTATCAAAAGTTATTCGAAAAATGGTAACCTGCCTTTTACTTTGGATCCGATAATAGTATTATTTTTATTATTTCTAATATATAAAAACTCAAAAATAAGATAACAAGACAGTAGTTGAAAGAATATAACTAAAATTTTGTGATAATATATGAGAAAATTTTTGCTTTGATATTCTTACTAAACTATTTCATTTTATATATTTGTATCGTTTCATCTCAATTTCTTAATAATTTTGACATTTTACATTTTAGGCAAAGAACGTCAAATATTTGATAAAGATGCATTTCGTCGTGTACGTATGGCATTTGCAATTCAAATAACTTCATTTGGTCTTGTGATGATTTGGATGGGTGAAGAAATCGGCGAATATAAAGAAAAAACACCAGGTACAGCAAAAATTGACTGGACATTAATTGAAGATCGAGAAGATAATTCAAATGCTATTAATAAAGAACAGTTACAATTTTATAAAGATGTTATTCATTTACGAAAGTCAAATGCAGCTTTAAGACGTCCAAATTTAGAATTCATATATGAACATGAAGATAATCAAATAATGGCATGGCATAGATGGAATACAGTTGTTGATGATGATCAAAAACAAGAAAATCATATTGTTATTGTATGTAATTGGTCATCATCAAATACCTATGAAACTTATGAAATATTAAATATGCCACGTAATGGACGATGGTATGAATGGCTTAATAATGATAAAGAATATATGGTTGAAAATAATAAATTAATTTTAAATGATTTTATTGATCACTCCGTCAGAATTTTGATCTATGAATGTAAAAAAAGTGATAATGACAAACGTTCATTAGCTTAATTTATTGTAATTAGGGAAAATAATCACAACCATATGTTCATTTTTTTCAATCACAAAAATGAACAAAAATTTTTTTTTTCAAGTATTCTTGTCATTGTATTTATACCAGCCAAAATTCGGTTTGGATTAGTAGTGTACAAAGAGTAGACAATATATTATGATGAACTTTTTTGCTCATATAGTTTTTACATTTTTTTTTGTTTATTGTTATTATTTCTGTTCGTTATATTGAGCATATAATATATTTACAAATATATATGATTAGTTCATTATCTTTTATCTGTTTTCATTTATATTTTTTCGTATGATCGAAATGTATAATTTCACAGACATAAAATGTACTTTGAGTAACTTCTATACAAAATAAAATAGTGCAGAAATTTACTTCTAGAAATAGCATTATTTCATCATATTTTTTATTACAGAACTCATTTGATTGTCAAGTCTATAATATAGCAACAGCTATTAATCCCGAGATATTTTATTCTAAACAGTAAATTTCATTAAGAAACAAAATGAAGTATGACTGAGAATTGAAAGATAAGCGAATGGTTTTAGACAGCATTGAATTCGTTGATCAAAACATAAATCGAGATATTAAGCGCAATTAATCTCAATAAATGTCCACAAAAATCTCTGTGTTTTAGTCTTAATTTACTATGTAGAGCATTTAGTAAAGTATGGTTTTAAAAAAAATCTGATTTCTATTCTTTTTGTTTTGTGTTTATTTATACAGATTGATTGCTCTAGTATATGTACGGTTAGTATACACTAAAGATGTGATCACGGTTATGGGTGTGTCTCTTTATGTCTCCCAAAGCACATAACTGCACATACACACCCTTTTTCGATTGACAGGTTTTGATATAAATGTCTATAGGTATATGATAATAATTAAAGATTATATCAATTGCAATTATATGATTAAAAGGGTTATATAAATTTCGACCTGGCCGAAAATCATGAGGAACTTGCGGCCTGGGACCAAATTCATCTCATCAATCTCTTAAAAAAAGCCATATTTCTATAACCAGTTGATACACTTCGTAATGCTGAGTAGTCCACTTGGATTCATATTAGAAATGTTGTAGTCTTAAGAGATAACTATTACGTCTTCATGAGGAGTGTCAAAATAAAACGAAATGTTGCATGCTGAACAGGATATTATAACTATATGTGATCTAAAATCACACTGCTACGCACTATGTCATCCTGCTCAGCACTACGTCGTTCCGCTCGACATTACGGAAATGTGTTAACTATTCATTGAAGCTAGACTATTTTTTATGAATAGTAGTGAGATAAATTTCGCCCCGAGCCGAATTTTCGATGATAGTTCCGCCCGGGCCGAAATGCTGCCGAAATTTGGAACCGGGTCGAAGGTTCAGGTCGAAAATTCCTTGGGCCGAAATTCTGGCCTCCCGATTAAAATGATGTAGTGGTATGATCATCTAATTGCTCTATACTTTCTATTTGTATGTATTAGTTTTTATTTTCAAGATTTGATATTATATGAGTAATTGGTTATAACAACATGAAAAAACAAGTTGATAATGATCGTTATGAATTTTTTCAAATTGAAACAGTCGAAAATTCATCCTATTACACCAAAACCTCTTTATAGTGGACACCTTGGGGACTTTTCAGAAGTGTCCACTATAGGCAGACTACATTTTTTCTAAAACCAGAATTTTTTACAAGGAACGGACTAGTTTTCTCGTTATCTGAAGGGTGTTAGTGAACACAATAACTAGGTACTGTTAAAGTTACTTCTCTTTTTATCCTTTTTTTTTCTTGGAAAATTAACAGTTATTAAAATACAGTAAAATTTTTCTGCCGTGGACATCATTGAGACCTATCGAAAGTGATCATCAAAGAACTATATGACAGTGTCCACTATAAAAAGGTTCATTTCCAGCAAAAAATTGATAGCTGGGGCTTTGACACCAGAGATAGACAAAATCGCACCGCGCCTCCCCGCGCCGCTGCTCGCGCCTTGGCGCTACCCACATCTCTCTTTCTCTTTGCTCTACCAATCAGTTTCTCAAACTCCACCGAATACCGGGATGCTCTAAGCCTGCGCTCATCGAAGCTCAGACTAGTGTAGCGTAGGCGTGAGCAGCAGCGCGGGGAAACGCGGGGAGGCGCGGTGCGATTTTGTCCATCTCTGTTTGACACATATCCACTATGCAGAAGTTCAGTTCTAGCAAAAATCATTCCGTCGGACTACGAGGTGTACACTATACGAATGTATCCACTATGGGAGGTTTTGGTGTAATTAAAAATAAAAACATTTTGCATTGTATATATTTTCTTTAAATATGTCTACTATTGAATATTTTATTAATAACATATAAACTCAATATTTACCAAAAGATTATAAGATACTAAAGCAAATAATAATTGCCCAATTAATTTCATTTTATTGAGAAGAAGCATATATTTTATTTACTATAGAGAACAAATTTAAATGTTCAGTATTATATACACAATTATTAGTAGAAAATTTACTATTCGGTAACTTTTATGTTTGTTCAATAAAATTAATAAATTGTTCAATGTTAAAATTATGACCTACTGACTGATGTGAATGGATCACTTCATCATTTCTAAACACAATCCACCAATGCACTTGTAGAGACCATTTTAGACATGGGCCCTTTAAAAATCCAATTACATAGAAAAATTAGGCAAAGCTTATAACGATTTTATATAGTATTTCCATTCGGGCCATTTTTCATTTCGTAATTATCCTGATACTATTAATTAACGACACCATCACTACATCCATTGCCATCTTCACATGTTTCAGTAATTTCGTGATGTTTCTATGCCTGTTCTCCATTATGGAAACAACATATAGTGTCATCTATTCGTTTTCATAAAAATGGCCAGCATAATATTTATCAGACATTAATATCCATATTACGCTGATTCTAAATATATACAAACCTTAATATTTGGTTCATTTTCTAAAAAAAAAAAATTTTTATACAATCCATTTAGAAATAACCAGTGAGAGTTGAGCGCATTCGTTTCATCAGTCAGTGGTTCATCAAAGTATCATTAAGTAATTTAGTTTTCTAATTAAATGAATAATACTTCTATTAATAATCATTTTTTTGTTCTTTTGATGAAAACATTTTAGGGAAAAAAGAAAAATGGTTCTCTATGTTGATTAATGATAATATCATCAATCAAAAGAATTTCATATGAAATAATATACATGTATTTTTTTTTCTTCTTTAAGATATTTTTCAAAGGATCTTTTCTTTTTTCTAGATCAATAATATAAGTATCTGAATCCTTGAGTTTTCAGCAAGCTTCTGACGGAAAGATGTTGTTTCCGACTGGAAAAATCTGAAAATGTTAGGAGTTTGTAAACATGAATCTGGTAGCTTGATTTTTGCTAGTTTCAATCTTACTTGGACTCCAAGTTCGTACCATTTTTTCCGAGTTTTGCGACTGGAGATGACCTAGATTTCTATTGAATAAATCATCCGTCAACACTAATATCTAATATGGTTTAAAAATAGCAATAACGATGAAAAAAAATAAAGAGACAACTAAATCGAGTGAAATAAATGACATTTGACAATATGAAAGAAGTAGTAACAAAAAGCATTATTGATGCAAGAAATTTCTGTTAATCACAATGATACTATTTTTAGTAAGCAAAAACTACTGAGCATATAATAAAAAACGTACTGAGCGAATAAGTATAAGTCTTTATTATAGATAATTTGATTAATTAAATGTGTATATGATTTGAATAAGAAACAAACTGATTATAATCTCATTACTTATTCAATAAACTTACTAATTTCGTATGAGAAAAAAAAGGAAATTTTCTTTTATAGGCTTTGTTTGTAGTAGTGATAGAAAAAAAGCAAGAATATATAATTATTTCTTTTTTGTTGTTTAGAGATCGTATTCTTTTGACTTCATTTATTTTCTAAAAATATCTCTGACTTTTGTAAATCTGTACGTGTAAATATTCACATGATAGTAATTTGTTATTCGGTGATAATTCGAACGAATACTATAGAAGATATTATACTTTTTTATTTATGTATGCGCACTTTAAGGGCACTTTCATAGGTTGGTTTTTCTTTTCTATGCTGTAACAGGACTGTCATATGTTGCACCTGATCTAGTTAAGAAAAAGAGACGATTAAAAAAATTTTATTTCATTCTTATTTCCGCTTGATATTCACCAAATATTCCTAAATCAATAGTTTTTTTCTGGATTAGTCTTGGAATATATAAACAATATGTTTGATTATTGTTGTTTATTTTATTAAGACAGTGTCCTTTGTTTTTTAACAATATTTTTCTAGGGAGAAAACATGTAGGTCAAAATGAAGCTATTGTTTTTATTACATCTATTGCTTATAATGTTAGATTCAAAAATATCAATCTGATATTCAATTAGACTTGAGTACGGATGTTATTATTCGAGTGTGTGATTTAAGAATTGAATTTTATTACACTAAAATCTGCATAGAGGACTAATCTTTTGATCAATCGATTCAATCTATGGCGACTAACATTCAATAAAAACTATTGATTTGATTAAAATGTCTAAATTCTAGATGAATATTGTATAGATCATTTTAAAAATTTTGTTAAAATTATTTTACACTGATTGTGAATGTGTAAGTCAGTTTTCAAGTCTCAATAGAGTGGAAACGTCAAGTTATCAAAGCCATTTATTGACAGACAAATCGTTTTTAACCCTTTGGTGATTGGCGAAGCATATATGTATGTGTCATGAGCATAGTTCTCACGCGAAACTAATATAATCACTTATAATGCATATTGTTTTCTGGTACACTCACTGAAAAGCAAACGTTAAACAGCAGGAGCTTCCAATGTTATCATTCTTTTACGGCCTAAATTAGAGCCCTGTGTTAAGAAACGAAAATGTATGGAGTTTAAAGCCACTCTTTGTTATTGATAATCAAAGGATTAATCATAAAAATTACAGTAACAAAGAA